GTGATAGTATCTAGTGTCGCCACAACAGTGATTCATGTTTACACAATTCTTCTTGATCTTTATTCTCATCTATAAAAAAGATGCATGTTGATAGCTCATCCATTCAATTTCATGTATAAACATGTTAACAATTAGCAAACTACTAGTAAATTAAATACATAGTATGTTTAAGGTGAACAAAATGATTTACCTCATGTCGGGTGGTCTGGTGAAGGAAGTACGTCTCCTGTAGCATCGTCATTCCAGCTCAAACTATCCCACCAATGTTTTTCACCTTTTATTATTTTGATTTTCGGAAAAACCTCTCTATATGGTTGCAATCTTCACCGTGTCTAAACACCCCCAAATAAGCTTAACTCATCTCTTGGCTGTAACTGAATAATTCTTCAAAGTTGTCACATTTATCGATTGATAAAATTTTCAAAGCTAACAAGGAAGCTTCAGATGATGAAAGCCTTTCGAGAATATTACACTGAGATATTTTGAGATACTTTACCGTATGGAATCTCAATATATCTCATGTCATCAAGAGATTCCATTTCAACATTCACAAGAAGAAGATTTTCAAAACTTGGAAAATGATCCCGACACACATCATTATCACTCACAGGTTTAAAGCTATAATCACTTACTTCAAGGTACCTTAACGAAGTGAAATGATGTTCCAGTTACCAAATTCTCCAACTTAAATCCAACATCTTTGCAGCTTATCAAATGTGCACAAGTGGCTGACAGATTTTTGTGAAACTTGAAGGTAGCCTATTGTGATGGCCCTATCATTATGGTGGTAAGTCCTAGAACTGCCATCTGACCCAACATGAAATCTAAAATTATGCAGCCTTTTGATACGAGACACACAATCATCGGTAAAGAATCCTATATTAGCGATCCAAATAAAAACAGCTCTCAACTCTTTAAGGGACCAAATCTCATCTGTTGTTGCTTGGCCCCCCATAGCTTGTCCTCGGGTTTTCCATTGGTAAGCACTCCTCGTCATATCAAGAGTCTCCAACTTCAATAATTGGGAGATTACTGTAGCAGGAATGCTTTCTAGAAAATTTGTGTCACGAAGAAAGAGATGTGCCAACTTTTTCAGGTAAACAAACTCATTTGGGAGTTCACTTAGATCAAGAAGTTGAAACAGTAAAGGCTTGTGCAGAGGTATTTCTTCTAGATGTTCACAATCTTTCACAATTAGCGTGTGAAGCTTGTCGAGGTTTGCAATGGTTTCAGGTAAGTATTTTATACCGGTCTCGCTTACATTTTGGATCCTAAGATCTGGAAAAGCTTGCAAAAATGTATACTTCCTGAAAGTGTGGTGGGTAGTAGGTGGTTACAAGGATCTCGAGGAGATACTAGGAACACCTGTCTAGTTAAATTATACAAAATTATTTTAAAAAAGTTATTCCATGAACATCATGGATTAGAACCTGTGTTACAATAACCTAAATCGAAAACCATGTGTTAGAAATCCTAACATGTCGTATAATGTTACAAAGGAATTTTAGATATAGAGTTTACAAAATTTGAAAAGAAAAAAAAAAATAGTTGTGATTGTACAAAAATTGTAAATTAAAGGTTACATACTCTTTTGCTTTGGTTTCAATAACCATTTATTACTCTTTAGCTAAAGTCTTGGTTTCAACTTTCAATTCAAGTTGACTACTCCATCTGCTAAGGATCAATATTCACAAAATCTTACACCAAAATGTTTAGTTTGAGAGCTACGAACAAACATTTTTAATTTTCAGGTTGGGTTCCGACTCAGTTTGAATTGGTTAAAATTCAGGTTAGGTTATGGTTCAGCTGTCTCTACCATTTTACATGTGTTAGATTTGATAAATTGAGTAAATATGGTTAGATAGAGATTGAATGGTAAGTAAATATTTGTCTGTAAGGAAATCCATAATCAAAAGATGCAGAACTATGAAGAAAACCAGTAACTTAACTGGTAAACATAGTATCAAATATATTATCAATTGTCTATGAAGTTAACAAATCGGCTTTTGGTTAGCCTTAATATTTACGACATTTACTTATTTAATTATTTTGATATGAACATTCCAAAACTAAAGGAGTTAGTGTTGAAAATTATATAGCATACATGAAACTGCGAGTTGTTGTTTGTAAGAAAGTAATTCATGAGTTTGGATGTCAAATATAAAATTTCACTCATTTTTTTAGATACAAAGGATATTAGAGAAAAGTAAATTATAAAAATGGAAAATCAAATGGTTGTGTGAAACAATTTATATAACACAATTTGATAAATGAATAAAACATAAAGCAAATTACACAAAAATCTCAATCAAAAGTAATTTCTATTTCCTAACCAAAACTAAAAGTTAAAATGACATTTTTATAACTAAACTTAAGTATACATCATTAACTAAAGGGTTAATTAGTAGAATATTACTTTGGAGAGAAATAATTAGATAAGTAGCATGTCTAAAAAAATATTTAGGTAAGTAACAAAGAGATTAAAATTATGACGAAATTGCCCATATTAATGTAATTAAAGTAACTGTAATAAAAAAAAATTCTTAAAAATCTTCTCTTGAATCTCATCTCTTGAAAAATTACTCCTACGGCCAACTCTATGAAAAATAGATCTGTATGCGAACAACAAAAATTGAGTGAGAAGATGACAAAAAAAGAGCAAATATATTGAAAAAAATAGTTAACTATTTCTTACCTCAAAACATAGTTAACTATTTTTGACCTCAAAACATAGTTAACTACATGCTAACTATTTTCATATAATAATTACTAATTTAAAAATATAGTTAACTATTTTAAGAGGATTTCATGATATAGTTAATTACGTGAAATGTTATTGTAGTAGTTAGCTATTGTAGTTGATAATGGAAAAAATAACATACATAGTTAACTATTGTCAGCCTATTATAATGAAAAAATAATATACATAGGTAACTATTACCAAAAATATAGTTAGCTATTATAATAAAATAAAATAAGATACATAGTTTACTATTATCATAAATATAGTTACCTATTATATTGATTTCCGAACATAGTTAGTTATGTCGATCTCTAGCGGCAACTCGATTTGACCAAGAGAAGAGATGACAATGAGTTAAGATAAAATAATTGAG